TGTGTGTGTGTGTGTGTGTGTGTGTGTGTGTGTGTGTGTGTGTGTGTGTGTGTGCGCCTGTACCGCCAGGACGCAGGACCTGCAGGAGGAGGTGAATGTGAAGGACGGCAACGAAAACATGAAAACCGGTGTAATTTTTCTAGCCTCAGTGTACGTGTGATGAGGTCTTTCCTCCACTCTCCCGAGGCAGTGCAGAAGAAGGACGATGTGGAGGAGAAGGACCGCATGAAGAAAAAAGACATGGAGAAGCAGGAACGAGAACATGAAAACCCTTGGTGGTCTTCCTAACCCCTGTGCAAGTATGATGATGGCCTTTCCCGCACTCTCCCCCAGACTGAGCGATATTGGCATCCCAGGCAGAAGGACGAAGAGGAGGCGAAGGATGATGTGGAGGAGCTGAAGCGGATAACGGTGACATAGACAAAAAGGACCTGAAGGAAGACGAGAAAGATGAGTAGGAAGGACCATGCCAAACGAAACAGAAACCAAAAAATGGGCATCAACGAGGAAAAAGATTAACGATATCACCATAGCTTCCTCCTCCTCTTTTTCCCCTCCAACTTCGTCACATCAGCAACCTCATCTTCCTACCCCCCTCTCGTCATCATCATCGTCATCTACTCTCCCCCCCCCTCCCTCTTTCTCCACCCATTTTATCTTCGAATCATCATCGTCTCCCCATTCGTTTCCTCTCCCGTGCACTCGAGGAGTTAGCAGGATACTGACCTCCCAGGCTTCCACAGGGAACTGGACATATGCAGAGGCTGACGAGGAAGAGGACGGAGCGGAGAGCAGGAGCACATGAAGGAGGACTATAGAAGAAACAGGTGCAGGCGGAAGACATCGAAGGGGGGGAAAAGGGAGAAAGTAATATGGGAGCTAATCAAGAGAAGCGAAATAGAAATAGAAAATGCGAACTAATTAAGAGAGCTAGATGAAGCCACCATAGCCCCCTACGCCTTTTTCCATCCCGCTTCTTCCGCGTCAGCAACGTTATATTCCTACCCCGTCCTCATCTCACCCACTGATTGATAACCAACGTAGTTCTCCGCCTGTCGTATTCCCCTCTCTCACCCCAACTCTCTCTCTCTCTCTCTCTCTCTCTCTCTCTCTCTCTCTCTCTCTCTCTCT